TCTCATTGCTACTAACCTTTTCTTCAGGAAACCTTGAAAAGGAATTCAAAACCCTAAATGAGACCTTTACTTTCCCCCCACCCCAGTCTTGCAGACTTTCTCTGCTTTTCCAAACTCTTCAGGGAATGCTCTTGCACTGCCCTAGCAAAGCCTCTTCTAATCTGGCCAATGACAAATGGTCTCTTGTGTACCCCTTGCTCCTCCCTTCTCAACTCTGTTAGATAGTCAAAGAACCTGCCTGGTTACCAACCCACTTGGCAGATCAGTTCTCTCAGTCTGACCCCTTTCTCTGCAGACTTGCCAGTCCTCAGGGACTGCCTTAGCAAGCTTAACTAGCACAAACACTGCACACTCCTACACAGATCACTTGTCCCCTGTTCCTTGCTCTTGGCGAGTCTCTCTGGGGACAGGCTAGTAACTAAGGTCAAATAACAAAGATATGATTTAAAGGAAACCAAAGCACTTGATACTATTTTTTTAAAAGTCTCCACAATCTTCCTCTATTTTCTCTTATTTTTATACTCTCATTTGTCATTATTCTGCTCAGATAACCTCCAACAAATCTCTTGGACCTAGCAACTTAATTTTATCTTTAAAATTATGTATTTCTTACAAAAATTATTCCTCGGAATAGCCTATCATCAAAGTATTTGGCTTCATAGGAAATGACATTTCACAAGATTTAAAAAAAAGTGAAGAGTAACAATTTTGGATATGGATCTACCAAGACTTAATTGCAACAGAAGGCAAGGTGAATTAAAAGTGACCTTGAATTGACAAATGTGTGCTAAGCCAAAGTAAGTTTATTAGCAAATATTTTAAAAAGTGAATAGTCTTGAAAGATGCTAGGTATAAAAGGAAAACTAAGGGTAGCAAAAGTCTGGTGTTAACAGCAAAGATTAAGTATGATACACCATCTTGCTTCAGCCCCGACAGAAAAATGCAATGTACAAAAATGTATTTTAACAGGAGAATTCAGCCACAGGTTAGAATCAGGGAAGAATGGTGCTTAGTAAACCTGAGGAAGCTGGCTTCAGATTGATAGGACCAGGTCAAAAAAAACTAACCATTTATATCATGAAGTAAACAGTTT